GGCTTTTGTTAAAGTGTGATTTGGGCAGATTGTAATCTCCTCAGGTGTATTTCCTTCTTATAATGAAGAAAGCATCAACAAAGAAATACAGCACATGCATGTAAAACCCCCAGCCCTGTCAATGCCTGATTAAAAGAGTAGCTCCTATTGTCAGAATTAGCTAACTTCTCTTCCTTTTGGGTCACTGAGACTAATGGACTGGGGTATCCTGACCTCTAGAAGGGCGTGGAGGGGAGGTTTGCAGATTCTAGGGAGAATGAAGGAGGGAGTGTGCTGGAGGGAGAGTGAAGCACAGGTAGGAGCCTGACACCCTCCAACCTCCCCTCCCCTGCCCTGCCCTCTACAGTCCTGTCCAAGAACAGCAAGCCCATCCACACCACCATCCTAAATCCACATGTCCACGTGATCGGGGAGGACGCAGCTTGCATCGCCTACATCCGTCTCACCCAGTATATCGACGGGCAGGGTCGGCCTCGCACCAGCCAATCAGAGGAGACGCGGGTCTGGCACCGCCGGGATGGCAAATGGCTCAATGTCCACTATCACTGCTCAGGGGCCCCTGCCGCACCGCTGCAGTGAGCTCAGCCACAGGTGCACCTGGTGGGGGAGGAGTGGCTGGGAGGGGCCAGGACAGGTGGGATCAGAGAAGGAAGAGAAGGCTAGGAGGTGGCACTCAGCCAGGACATGTGGGTCATCCGAGAGGAACAGCAAAAGCTGGGCAAGGTGGTTATGTCAGGCTGTGAAACCAGTAAGGCTTGGATCTGGCTCCAGAACTCTGAATTGGGTGTGTACAGATGGTATGTTTCCTCTCTAGTTTAGCCATCCAAAAAGAAGGGAGGGTGGTGCCTGCTTTCTTGGATTTGTGAGGATTAAATAAGATTGTGTAAGGGCAGCCAAGATTAAAGCACCTACTTAGGTAGAGCAGGGACCAGGGTTCCATCCCTGGAGCTATTGAGACTGGGTGTGGTGGTGTGTGCCTGTAATCTCAGTGCTTTGGAGGCTGAAAACAAGAGGATCACTACGCGTCCAGTCTGTGTAGTGAGACACTGTAGACCCTGTACTAAATACATAAAAATAAGATAGTGTAAATAAAATACTTGGTAGGTGCTCAGATACGAAGCAGTGCTGTACTTAGACATTAGCCTTTCCCAACCCCACCTTCTCTGACAGGATGGCTAAGTGGGGAGTGTGCTTATCACACCCTAGAAATTCATCTGTGTGCTCCCTGTACTCTATTAGGTTACTGTGTTCTGTCTTCTTTGACAGGGGCATTAGGAGATTCCAGCTGGAGGTCGAACCTTCGCAGCCAGTGGCTCTGGAGGGCCTGAGTGACAGCGGCAGTTCTGTTCGTTTGAGGTTTAAAACAATTAAATTACAAAGCGGCAGCAGCCAATGCACGCCCCTGCATGCAGCCCTCCCGCCCGCCCTTCGTGTCTGTCTCTGCTGTACCGAGGTGTTTTTTACATTTAAGGAAAAAAAAAAAAAAAGATTGTTTAAAAAAAAAAAATGGAATCGTACCATGATGCGTTTTAAAACCACCGATAGCCCTTGAGCCAGCAAGAAGGCAAGAGTTTGTGAGATGCCCATCCTGGCATGAACAGCGGGCTCGCCCACCAGCCCTGGAGAGGTGAACTTGGCCTCAGGCTGCCATGGACTCAGGGGGACCAGGCAAGGACTCTGACAGAGCTTTGGGGCCCAGGAAGTGATTGTAGCCCCTGAGGTGGCCTGCTTACCCCAGGTCTAGTCGTGGACTTCTTCAGAACCTGCAGAGGCGCCTAAAAAGAGGCTGACGGAAACACCATGGCCATCAGGCCTACTTGGGAGAGAATGTAGAGCTCCCAGCCTGCTACAGAAGCAGCTGAGAAGCAGCGGCCTTAGGACTGATGGCCCGGACTTTGCTGTTCCGCTCAATTTAGTGTAGAAAGGAAGAGAATTGGTGCTGCAGAAGTGTGTCCGCTATGAAACTGTTGAGAAACCTCATGTTAGCCTGACATGCACTCACGCATCCATTTCTAAAGGGTGCACAACGCATGTGGGCCCTGATTGTGAAGCCTGCTCCCTGCAGCTGGGAAGGAAAGGGGTTGCTGCTTTGCGTCATGATTGTTTTCTTAATAACATAGCAATGAGAGAGTCAGGCCCTGGTCAGGGCTCCCCTTGCTGCCTTTGGCAGTTCTGTTTCTGCTTATCTGGACCATCTAAGTCTTGCCTTTCTATGATGGTGGTCCCTTGCTGACCCTCATCTGGGCCTGGGTCCCCAGCCAAGTGCCCTGTGGGACCGGAGAAGTGAGGCAGTGCCGTAAGAGGTGGTGGTTGTTTCTATGCATTCAGGCTGCCCTCAGGGCTGCCTCCCTTCTTCCTCTTCCCTTGCTGCACGTCCATCTCTACCCCAGTCTCAGACCTGATTGCTCTGGCAAGAAGAGGAAGTGTCCTCTTTAAAGGAGCCCCTTTGCTGACCAATTGAAGTGTAGACTTACTGCTGGACAATCTGCATGGGCATCACCCCTCACACCTGCATGTACCAGAAAAGGCATCTAGAACCAAGGCTCCTATACTCATTGTCCCTCTCTGTGCTCAAGGAGTATCATTCCAGGAGGAAAAGATCAGTGCCCTAAACAGATAACAGAAGATAACGGAGGAGGATTGGTCACAGCTTTGGCTTCCCCCCAAATCAACCGTGCATATGTATCTGCACAAATACCTGCACTTTAGGGGGAAGGTGGGTAGACTCCAGCTCCCTGGACTACCTTCAGGAGGAGCAGGAGCTTCAAGAAGAGGCAAAAGCAACAGGTGTACTTTGGAGCCAGCTGAGAAGAGCGCAAACTCACAGGTGCTGGTGCTTGGATTTAGCCAGGCCCCTCAAGCACCTCATGCATGCCCCAGCCCCTGGGCCCTTGCTCCTTCCTGCCCTGCAGCCTGCAGTACCAGCTCGCAGACACCTTCACCACAGGGTTTGGTTTTGTTGGCTTGAAGACACGGTCTTAGAGTTCATTGAGACCCATAGCTTCATATGGCTGCTCCAGCCCTACTTCTTAGCATTCTTACTCCTCTTTGGGGGCTAATGTCAGCATCTATAGACAATAGACTATTAAAGATCATCTTTTAAACAGGAAATGGAAGGCATTTGATGCAGAATTTTTGCATGATGACATAGAAATAATTTAAAAATAGTGTTTGTTCTGAATGTTGGTAGACCATAGCTTTGTTACAATGAAACCTTGAACTGAAGATATTTAATAAATAACCTTTAAACAGTCCATTGTGTTACTGGTGCTGGAAACCTACGGCCAGGAGTTAAGGTTTTTAACACACTGCTCTTATGAGGCTTCAAACGGAGAGGGGTATCTTTTCGCCCTTAGAGTTCACCTTAGAAGACTTACTCATAAATTCAGTCTCCAGTCTCTGGGACGACTGGGGTGGTAGAGAGGACGAACCCCTTAAAATGTGGGTTAAGGGTCTCGCCCCGCCCCTGCCCACGATGAGACCCGCCCCCGCCCTCAGTAGGCCGGTCCGGCCTCCCCTCCGCGCGGCTGAGTGGTCGAGCCCGTCTCTCGGCCCGCCCCTGCTCCCGGCCGCTGCGCCCGACGCTTGCCAGACTGTGCCACCCGGCGAGGAGGGGGTGCGCTTCGGCGCGTACGGCCTGAAGCCCGCCGTCTCGAAGGCCACGGTTCAGCTCAGGACTGCGGAGGACCGTGTGGGTTCCTGCGCCCGGGGGTGCGGCTGCCGCGCTCTGAGCCGTGGGGAGTCCGGACGGGTGCCAAGAGCGGCAGCTCGCCGTTTCCCCCCAGTGGGAACGGTGGTTGGGCCCGGCTGCGGCAGTGCGTCGGCTCGGAGATGGCGGAGCCGCCGCGACGCGGCCGGAGGCCCGGACAGCAGGGAAGCCCGGCAGCCCCGGGACGCGGCGGAGCCCGGGGACCGCAGGGACGCCGCCCACTCCGCCGGGTGAGCCGCCCTTGAGGAGAACAGCCCCCCCCATTCTGAGTGTGGCCCGCGCCCACAGTCGCACTCAGTACCTCCCCTCGCGGACTCCCGGGAGCGCTGCCACCGTAACCACCCGCGGGGTCGTTTCGTGCGGCCCAGCGCGCCTGTCGCCCCGTGTCCCTTTCACTAGCCTCTGCCACAGTTGCCGCTTGCTCACTTTGCCCCTTCTCCCCGCAGGGCTCTTCCAGCCCAGAGCCCGCCTCGGTGTCACCCAGAGTCGGTGCGCTCCTTCCCCTTTCCGTTCAGTGGCCCGGTCTGCCCGCTCTTCCTCGGCACCCTGTGAGCCCGCGTCCACCGGAGGGGTCCCTCCGTCCGGGAGCCCCGGTGCCCCCTCAGTACCCCCTCCTGGCACAGCATCTGTCGCCTGTCCCCGCGCAGGGCCCACACCCGCCTGCCCGTTCTATTAGTGCTGCGCTTCCCGCGCCGGTGACCCTTAGGTTTCTCCCTCTTTGGAGACCTCCTGCTGCTGCACACACGCAACCGCATGCGCCCCTCCAGTATTTCATAGCCCAGCCCGCACCCCACCAGCCTTCCCGTCACCCCTCCCCTAAATATTGCTGCTTCTTTTAGGTATGAAGTTAAAATGCAGTGGTTAACAGCGCGGACCCCGGAGCTTGACAGGCCTGACTTTGAATTCTAGTTTCTCCACTGGCTGAGCTGTTTGATCCTGGGCAAGTTACTAAGCTTCTCTGGGCCTAAATTATTCAAAATGTGAAATGGGGATGATAGTATCTTATTTCTTCCCTACCTGTTGGTGTAGGTATTAGGATTAAATACAGATGCTTCTTAGTTTACTGTAGAGCTTTATGCCTAGGTAAAAGCATCATAAGCTTGACAATATCTTAGGTGAAAATGGCGTTTAATACACCTAACAACACGTAGCTCAGCATCCAGTATGTTCAGAGTGTAGTTGTTTAATCAGATTGCATAGCTGATTCTTAACTGAGGCTCACTGCCCCTGCCCAGGGTACAAGAGTATTGCACCATATATTTACTAGCCCACGTATCCAATGGGAAAAGATCAAAATTCAAAGTCTAGGGCCTGAGGCTGTAGCTCAGTGAGTAGAACACTTACTTAGTGTATACAATACCCTGAATTTGATCCCCAGCACTGTAAAGTAAAATTCAGAGTACAGTTTATACTGAATGCTTATCACGTACCATTGTAGGTCAAAACCATCAAAGGTTGGGAACCATCTGTATATGTAAATCTCTGGGAAAGATGTCTACAGGTAGTGAGCTCTCAGTAAATACCACCGTGGGTGATACAGCCCAGCTATCAACTTGTCCTTAATGACATCTCACTACTGTATTTTCCCTAAAGTTTCCACTAATTCTGAGGATGCATCTTGCCATCACTTTTGTGTGAATATGTGCTGTGGATTTAACCCAGGGCTTCACACATGCGTAGCACATGCTCTGCCAATGAACTGTACGCACACCCTTTCCCCATTACAGTTTTTATCATCTCCCAAATCTCTTCTCATGTTGATTTATTCTACCCAGGACAAAGCTGAACTGTTCTTAAATCATCTCTTTCAGTTCTGCAAGATTCTCTCTCTGCATAATAACCACTAAGATGTGGGTATTGGGGTAGGTGACAGAAGGGGATTGCATGGCTGGCCTTACTAAGAGTGGCCAAAGTGAAAGGTCTAACCATAAAGCTTCCAGAAGCTGACTTTAAAAAAAAAGTTCCCCAAATTAGGTCTCTTTAAAACTGTGTTTTCTGATCCTCTTTCTCAGCTAGATGTGATTTAAGAATCTGTTGCTAAAAACAATCTTGCTCTCTCACTCAGGTTATACTTTGTTTTTTTGTTATTTGTTTGTTTAATTGAATTCTTCATTCCTCTCCAGGCTAGCTCAGGGACTCTTCTGTACAGGAATGGACAGAGAGATTCTAAACCGTCTTCTGGCTCTGGCTTTTCTGGGGTACTAGTTGCATGACCTGTTCTGGGTCTCCATTTTTATCTCCTCTCCTGACTTTGGCACAGGCTAGTTGAAGGACAAGAGGTAAATAATTTTCCACAAGCAGTGGAATTGTGTCCAGGTTCTGATTCAGAAGCCAGTTAAACAGTTGTACCATCTCTCTTTTCTTGAACTCCCCCACCATAGTGTCACACACATGACTGAAAGTTCGTTAGTGCTGTTAGCTGCAATGATGGGTTTGGTTGATGTGGCAGATTAACAGACTCATGAGTTTCATCTTATCTGATATTTTGTTGGAACTTGGGACTTCTGGGGCTTTCTCTTTGTCACAGGAAGACCAGAGCTCTTGCTTACAGGCCAACTGCCAGTCACAGGCTAGGAACTTCTTTCAGAGCAGGCCTGTTTTCAGCTGTCTGGCCCTTTGTGGGTGGGAGAATTTGAGTATCCTGTTCTAGCTCTGAGCTTAGAATTTGGGTAGCCTGGGAGAGGAAACAGGTGTGAAGCCAAGGTATGGAACTAGGCTGTGCGCTTGAGCAGGTGCTTTTTTTTTTTGAAAACTAATCATAAGTGATCAGGAAGTGAGAGGGAGGATAAAGAAGAGAATGGATTAAAGATACAGTTTCAAGGGGAGAAGTAACCCATCCATTATTTCTGTTTTACAGGTAGTGGGCCGGATTATGAAGTTCACTGACTTCTGATGTGAGGAGCTTCATCAAAACCAAGGTGGACCCTGGCTAGATTCGCAACCTGAAGACATGGGCCAGGGGGCCATGGTGACCTGAGGCCAGTGGACTCTGTCCAGACCCCCTGTTGTTCCTTCTGCCTCTCCAGCCCTGTACTGATAGGACTTGTCTCCACTTCTTCAGGAAACTGATCGCCTATTTTCCTACCCTCTGCCTTCCCAAGACTGTTCCAGGCTGTAAAACTCAGGTGGTCACCATTCCTCCTTCATTTCTTCCTCGCCATGCTTCAGCTGTGGAAGGTGATATGCCCAGCTCGGCAGCAGGAACTGTACCGCCTCATACTGCTGCTGATTATTTTCAGCTTGGGCTCCATGGGCTTCCTGGCTTACTATGTGTCCACCAGCCCCAAGGCCAAGGAGCCCCTCCCCCTCCCCTTGGACTGCAGTAACAGTGGGGCAGCTGGCCCTGGCCCTGCACGGCCTCCAGTCCCACCTCAGCCTCCCAGACCTCCAGAAACAGCTCGAACTGAACCTGTGGTCCTTGTGTTTGTAGAAAGTGCATACTCCCAACTGGGGCAGGAGATTGTAGCCATCTTGGAGTCTAGTCGTTTTCGTTATAGCACTGAGCTAGCACCTGGCCGAGGGGATATGCCCACGTTGACTGATCGCACCCGTGGCCGCTATGTCTTGGTCATTTATGAGAATCTGCTCAAGTACGTCAACCTGGATGCCTGGAGTCGGGAGTTGCTAGACCGGTACTGTGTGGAGTATGGTGTGGGCATCATTGGCTTTTTTCGAGCCCATGAGCACAGCCTACTGAGTGCCCAGCTCAAGGGCTTTCCTCTTTTTCTACATTCAAACTTGGGCCTCCGAGACTACCAAGTGAATCCCTCTGCCCCCCTACTGCATCTGACACGCCCCAGCCGCCTGGAACCTGGGCCACTGCCTGGTGATGACTGGACCATCTTCCAGTCCAACCACAGCACGTATGAACCAGTGCTTCTGGCCAGCCTGCGGCCAGCTGAGGCCCCTATGCCAGGACCAGTGCCTCGTCGCGCCCGGCTCCCCACCGTGGTACAGGACCTGGGACTCCATGATGGCATCCAACGGGTGCTCTTTGGCCATGGCCTTTCTTTCTGGCTCCATAAACTTGTCTTTGTTGATGCTGTTGCATACCTCACTGGCAAGCGCCTCTGCCTGGACCTTGACCGCTATATCTTGGTAGACATTGACGACATCTTTGTGGGCAAAGAAGGTACCCGCATGAAGGTGGCTGATGTTGAGGTTAGTCTTTTTTCCTCCTACTTTTCTTAAAAGCTGTCTTTACTCTAGCTTGTCAGAGTCTCTCCCTGATTCTCACCTTATTGTAGGTACACTTCCTGCCCCTTCAGGCAGAAGGAAAGCTACTTCTAATGTATCTCCGCTCAGTCTGCTTGCTCTTGATTTTCATGTCCCCACTGCTCTTCCCAGGCTCTGTTGACCACCCAGAGCAAACTCAGGACCTTAGTGCCCAACTTCACCTTCAACCTGGGCTTCTCGGGCAAATTCTACCATACTGGTGAGCTTATTCCCCTACCCCGTCAGTATAGTGGTCTAAGTTT